AATTTAAGGATTTTGGACTTTTCTTATTAGATAAGATTTTAGAAGACTCTGATAGAGCGTTTATACAATTTCTTCTAATGCCATTACTAAGAAACAATTAAAATGTAATAATTAATAGAAATCAATTTATTGATGAAGAAAGAACATGAAACATTCAATAATTTGAAGAAAATTTGGAGCAATAAGTTCTACAATTGAATCTTCAACAAAAAAAAAGGCATATGATGATATTGTGGCCTCCATAATTGAAGAATATGGATGCATGTTTTTTTTTCTAAATGAACCTATAGAAACTAGTAAGACATCTATGTACAACATTTTGGCTACTAGAGTTCAATTGATGCAAAAGATTATCATATGTGTTGCATCATCAAGAATTACCACATTGCTACTTGAGAGAAGAAGAATTGTCCATTCTATGTTCAAGATTCCACTAGATTGTAATGAAGACTCTTTTAGTTCAATTATTAAGAATTTATATCATATTGAGTTTCTTTTCCAAACTTCACTTATTATTTAGAATGAACTTGTAATACAACATTGTTATTATATTGAGACAATTGATTTTTCTTTTAAAAACATTTGGAATATTGATCTCCTATTTGGAGGAACTACAATAGTTTATACTGGAGTTTTTTGCTAAATATTGCTAGTCATTGTGAAAAGAATTCAAGAAGAAATTATAGCAACATCTTTTTGACGTTCAACACTTTGGCCTCAAATATAAATCTATACATTAAAAGAAAATATGAGGTTGAATTCATGAGTACTTCAAATAGATATTGAGTTTGCTAATTGGCTTCTTCAGATATAGAATACACACATATGTTGCATATATAGATGGTAGTGCATTTGAATTCTTTATGATTGTATTATTATTGACTAATATTTCTATTTTCTACTTTTTAATTTAAAAATAGTACAAACTTATTATCCAATAATATAGTTATATTTTTTTATGACATGATTGTAGATCAACAATTAATATTCTTAGTAGATATTGTTTATCTAAGGCTATCAAAAGAAGGTGTAGTAAATGATGCCTTTTTTAAAGATAGAATCATTTTATCTGCATAAAATGATGATATAGAAGATATTAATGAGAAGATTATAGTTATATTTTCTAAAGAAGAATAAGAATATCTAAGCATTGATGAAATTATTGTTGAAGATGGTATAGACAACAATAATGTTTATCCAGTCAAATTCATCAAGTTGCTTAATCCATTTGGAATGCCTAGATCAAGGCTTTGTCTTAAGATTGGAACTCTAGTGATGCTACTAAAAAATATTGCTTCTTGCCAAAGACTTTTCAATAGAATCCAATTAATAATTATACAACTAATAGATTGAGTTCTTAAAGTTAGAATTTTTAGAGGAAAATTTGCTAAAAACTTGGTGTTTATTCAAAAGATTATATTAACTTCTACAACAAAAGAAATTCTATTTGTTCTAAAAAGAAAGAAATTTCTAATCCATCTTGTATTTGCAATAAAAATAAACAAATTCCAAGGACAATCAATGAAGCATGTTGATTTGGATTTATGATAATCTATTCTTTTTTCCATAGTCAACTTTATATAGTACTTTTTCAATGCACTTTTTCTTATTCAATCAAGATTCTTCTTCCTAGAAATGATAATTTAAATTCTACATTGAATATTATTTTGCTAGAAGTTTTAATTAGATAAAAATTAATAATTTATTTTTTATATTTTATATTTTAATTAATTTATTTATTAACTTTAATACATCTTTGAATGTCTTAACATACTTTCATGATTTTTTTAATATAATTTTTTTATATATATTTTTACAAGTAATTTCTTGAATTAAATTAATTACTTTTTCTTTATATATTATTTGTGACAACAGTATGGGTTTGTATATCCTACTTCAAACCTAAAAGCTCTATTATGTATTTTATTTCTTTCTATTTGTATTGTATTGTACTTAAATTTGAAAAATACTCTTTGGTTCACATTTGAGTTACACTTCCCATCACAAAAACACGGGTTCATCTAACCTATATATAAAGATTATTTAAAGAGACAAGTGGTGGCTCTCATTTACTACATACACCCTTTTTGGTTTTCATCAAAAAACTTAACATTGTTTGGAGTTTGAAAGGAACTAAATACTTGACTGAAATTCAAGCAAAGTTCATAAGAAGTTCACAAGGCTTATCGACGTGAATCCATGTTCATAATGACACATTATAAATCCATTATGACATTAAAAAAATGTCATAACATTAATATAATATTATAATCTAAAATCTAATATATAATTGAACTAAATATATAACATATGATCTTATATTAATGACTTCATATTATATATTAATATTATGACATGATAATATATATATATATATATATATATATATATATATATAACATATAATAATATCATATTATATCATATTATTAATAATATTTATATAGCATAATATATGTTATATAATTATCATATATTATAATATATATTGATAAATAATAAGGTAATAATATTATATATAAATATATATGTTATATATTAAAAATGCTAAAGGAAACAAGTAGTGGCTCTTATTCATTACATGGATCAATCCATCAAAAAGGTTTATATTTTGTAGAATTCACAACATATTTTATAGTTCATTATTTTATTTTGTAGTTAATGGAAGAGTTCTACAAGGTTCAAGTAGTGTTTCTCAATGGTTGTAAGGATGGATTTTTATTTTTACTAAAAAAGTTTGCCTTCTTTGAAGTTCATAGGGTTTTCCATAGAATGTTTTACACATGGTCAGAGCATTTCGTAGGACATTTTATAATTGATTAAGGCGTTTCACAAGGAATTATAAATTGGAAAAAATGGCTAAAAGTTTTGAGAGATGCTTTGAGCGACAAGAAATAACAACTTTTGATTCACATAGTCCCGAAGTCTCTCCAAAAATTGCTCAAACAAGGAGTATTTAACAAAGAATGGATCTGTTAAGCACTTAATTGTTTTAGATTCAAGGCTCAAAATACAAGTAGTACCTTGCAATGCAAACTTAAGATAAACAGCCAAGATAAATAGTAATTCTCTTTCATTACATGGATCCGTCATTGTTGAGGTTTAAAAAAGCATGAGGTGTTGGGATTTAATTGAATGTAGATGGCTTTAGCAATGTGTTGTTTGTTACATGTAATAATACAATTGAAGGTGAAGTTTGGTCATAGATGGAGAAAAAAACATAATTGTAGTTTTTTTGTGCTTTCTTCAAGTTGCACTCTGCAATCTTAAAGATTTCAAATACCATGCTCTCCATTCTTTATAAATCATGTTACCAAGCTTTGCATTGCAAAGTGAGTGTATTTCTAGATATTTCAATAGATTCAAAAATTTATATGTATTTGTATTGCATTGCATTTCAAAATTTTCATTATGCTTTGGATTACAAAGTATTACACTAAAAATCATGCAAAAAATATTTCTAAGTAATTTTTGAAATACACAAATTTTTTATTATACTTTGCATTGCAGAGTGAGTGTATTAAAGTGAAATGGTTTGAGTGTTGTGTGCTTTGTCATTTTGGTAGTTAATTCTTCAGATTTAGAAACAACATATGAACAATTAAGTGAAAGCTAATTATTAAGAGTCACTATGGCATTATATATTATTATGGTATTGTAGAAAATTTGGAAATTATTTGATTCTTAATTTAAGATCCTTTATTTGAGGTATTCAAAGTAGCTTCAAGTTGTGTATCTTTTTGTATTAATTGACTTACATAAGAAGTACAAGGTTGGAGGCATTTCAAGGCATCATGTGTAGAAGTGATAACAATTAGTTTTACTGTTGAAAACTTACAATTTGTCAAAATTGGAGAGGAAAGACTTGACAATTGAAGAGCAAGGTTTGATTCTTTCTTTTTTATTTTATTTTATTTTCTTTTTCTTTTTCACTTTAACTTTTGTGTCATCCCTATAGAATTGATTGCAAGCTAAAGGAATTCATTGTCTTGCTATTATAAGTAGTAGGATATTATTTAGGAGTGAAGCAATCAACTTTGTTGGAAGTGGGCCAATGCAAGAGACGTCATGCAATTTATTCAATTTTGAAGGCACTTTTATTATCCTTGATAATAACATAGTGAGGTGCAATAGAATAAGAATTTATACTCATGCAACTTGATATAAAATAATATTGTTGATTATTAAATTTAAAAAAAAAACCATTTAGATAAAATAAAGCCAAATAAAAATATCATACAAAGATTCTAAAATTTTCTACTTTAATTTCAGAATATATCATCAATAAATATATACACATAAAAAAGAACATATTCTTTATTTATTTATTTAGAATATTTTTTTAAGAGTATAGTTATAATTGTGTTCTAACTACTTACAACACTACTCAAAGAAATTTAAGATAAGTTCTTTACTAATATTTACAAAGTCATAGTTGGAATAAAAAGATGTCCACATGTTAAACTGTAAACGACTTTTTATATATGCAATGTCAACTATAAATATTTGATTCAAACATGAGAATCCATGAATCAATTTAAAGTAGTTAACACATTAAAGAACTAAAAATTGGATAATCAAATTGTGCAAATTCATCTAATGTCGTAAATCTCATACAACATGAAGGTAACAAGGTACATAGAACAGCCAAATAAAAAATGTTAAGTAGATTCATGTGTCAAAACAAGAGCCAAGACATGCCCATACTTTGAGCTTATGCAGGAGTTGCAGCAAGCCTCTGAGTGGATTAGGACCTTAGTGGTAGGCATAAAATCAAATTGTTGACCTTTCACTGGTTGATTAAAGGAAAAACTTATTCTGAGTGACATTAGGTTACACATACCTCAGGATCAGAACTCGTTGAATCACCTAGGAAAGTATCTGTGGAACTCATGGAGATATTGTACAGAAGTAAATAATGCTTTATTACACATTTTACGTCAAACGTCCTTAATTTCAACCACAAGTTTATGAAAACCTACTCCATGCACTAAATACCCTTTTTTTTTTTTTTTTTTTTTTTTTTTTTGTGAGCCATGCTTAAACACTAAGTTTCCAACCTCTGAAATACGGCTGGAGATAGCAGATAATTCTCATTTTACAAATATATAGCATTATAATACATTATGTTAAGACAGATATTAGTTATCGCAGCAGTACCTACCGATTGCTTGAAACAGTTGAAGGAGAAAACTGATGATTAACTATTGTAGGATATCTGAAGCTAATACTACAACTAGTAGCCATGGAAATTCTTGAGACAGAAAATTCCACCCATATAACTTCAGCCAACAGGGTTTATTTGAATGTCTCCTATATGTCACCAGAGAATCAATTGCCACAACTTATGAGTACTGGGAACTGTTTTACTCTGAAAAGGGTGAAAAAGACTTGTATTTACAGCTACCACTATCTTACTCTGCATTAACGCCCGCTGTAGACTGCAAAGTGCATGCACATGCATAAAGTGGTAGGTTAGACACTAACAAAATTACATCATTAATGAAATACCACCTCAACGAGGAATTAGCAACCAAAATCAAAGAAGAAGACTAACCTGAACGTGGTTTAAGATCTGGTTGAGTTGATTGAAAAGGTGAAAAGTCTTAAACAACAGTAAGTGTTCCATGGAAACCGATAAACCTCAGTCTTCCTTCCCTGAAGACGTGCCAAACCAACCAGGCAACCATCCGTACAAGTATCTGTATTCACATGAACAAAGATTTTAAGTTAAGCCCTTTTACTAGAGAAAAGGCAGAAGATTCATTACACCAGATACAAAACTGCAAGTTCACCACTCTGCAATTAGTCTGAGCCCTAAAAATAACTCCATGACAGATCTTACACCTAGAGTGGTCCATTCTCCTTGAGTTTTCAAACCAATAGCTGGCAAGTATCAGGATCTTATTAGTGGTTTTCAGCAATCACTATACCAACCAGAGATTTCGTCATCCTACACACTGTTCATCTTGTTAATTTAAAAATTCCGTAACAGTCAACAATAAAGAATTCCTACCAAGTCACACAACCAGAAAAACATTAGCATTTTCAGATAATTTAGACTCGACTTGAGGGGTCTAGCATGTTATGAACTTCTCACCGGGAACCACCGGAATCATCTGCTCGAACACGTTCTCTTATGTTGCCAACGTGAGGAGGCACTTCTTGCTCGGACCTACTCTTCATTCCACCTTCTGGACGGCCTTCCGGACGACTTTCTACAATTTTTTCGACGACATGATAATCCGAGTCTGAATCCTCTAGGGTATTAGCGTTCACTGGAGGATAACCCGCACGAGTAGATCCAGGATATCCCGCTGGTGGAGCTGGGGGGTAAACTTGAGGGCCTCCCTGTATGAGCAGAGAGCAAAAGGTGATTATGAAGTTGATACATTACAGGAGATAATAGTAGATTGCATAGAACATATCCTGACTAGTGAATAAGATGCTGTAAAATGAGTGAAGATGCAGCTATCTTGCAAACGAGCACTCGAGAAACAGCATACTCCTCTGAATCATTCCTCTCTCTCATGTGTTCTAAAGGACGCGCTTTTTGCAGTAGCAATATCAACATTGTAAGATTTAGTATGAGTGCAAGTTAAAGTCTCATATAAAAACCTGTTCTATCTAACGAGTTTTTAGTATAAAATCAGATTGTTCTCATTACATAATAAGCTTCAAGTCCAGTATGATTCGAAACAACTCTAGGCAAAACAAAAGTAACGTCTAAAAGCATACCTGGTAAGGATCTCGTGGGGGTCCACGTGGAGGACCTTGAAAATTGGGGCGACGACGACTTTGACGGGCAATAGAACCCTGCTGGGTTCTGTTTGGTTGTGACGCTACATACGAGAAAAGCTCATATATCCTGGATTGAGCGTAATTTGAACATTTTTGCCACCAGAAATAGGCCAAGTCTCCACCTCTAGTCGTCAATTCATGCAGATGGTGGTCAATCTCAGCCTCATGCCTTGCCACGATGGGTCTCAAAAACGTTGAGTACACATACTTTGTACCCTGAAGGAAAACCAATTAATTAACAAATAGGTAACCAATGGAATAGAAAAAAGAAGAAGATGAAAATGAAATGAAAATAAAAAAAAAAGGAAAAGAATAAAAATAAGGGTAGCAGAAGAAGAAGAAGATGAAAGAAGAAGGAAATATGAGGTACTGAAAACCTAATGTTACTAACCATAAACCAGTCAAGCAAAACGTTATACGGGATGCTTGCTATTATCTTATGCTGGTGGCATTATATCTCAACCATAGCTTACATAAAAACTTGGGCTTGATCGATATGCACACACACACAAAAGAAAAAGAAAAAGAAAAAGCACAATGCTGCTAAAGCCGCCGCTCAGAGAGTATTCAAGAAAAGAGGAAGAGCCAAGTGGTACCAGAGTATTTGGGTGCCAGAGGTATACGATGAAAGCCAACTTTGCCTCACTGTACATTGGCACCCTAAGATTACAAGATTCCAGGAATTAGAAGATAAAGTGCAACGTAGACTATTACATCCCACGTAGGCGTAGGAAGGAGACGGAAGAATGAATTCAGATGTTAAAGTCTCCAAATTGTTTCAATTTATGCAACTTCAGATCCAAAAACGAGATCACGTTTGGTACTTCCAACGCAATTCTCTTCCTCAAGTTAACAGCAATCTTAGAACCATTCTCACTCGTGTCTTATGATTTAGAGTTGACAACCCAACTCGCGTAAAATTAATTTCTTTAAGATTAAGATATGAAGCAGGCGTGCAGAGTTTGAAAGTTAGCAAGTAATGAGAAAGAGAAGCACGAGAGATTTAAAACATACCAGGAAACAAGAACGTCCCCCAGCCTTTCGAATACTGTCAGGGCTGCGATTATTATCCTGGAGGACAAAGAAAATCGGGTGAAAACTAATTTTCCCCTAAAATTTGGAATTAAAAAGACACAAACCAGAGGCACCCGAAATAGCCACCAGCTAATCAAGGTTCTCACGAGTACCTTATCGAACTTTTCCCTGATAACACCAATCCTCAATGGTGGATACCAAATCATCCAAAAACAAATACAAAATACAAAAAAAAAAAAAAAAAAAACAAAACAAAACAAAGCGCAGTTTCTTCTATCAGCAACAAAATCAATGATGACATACCAATACTGACACCAAAATTGAAGGTGTTCCAAATCGGGCCTATCCCTTTCCACTACCTTGAAGCATGCATACGCGGGGTACACGTAGCCGAGTAACATTCTGCAAAATCAACTAAACTAGTATCAACACATTTGAGAAATCTCTAACTATATAACTTGACTCACAAGTTTAATCCCCATCACAAAATGATTGTGGCAGTGCATGAATTTGCAGTATTCAATTAAAAACCACTCTTCAGTTAAGTACTACACCATGAATATATTTTCTACACGTCCTTACACATAATTCATGATGCACCTACAGTTTAGTTGTCAAGAAGCATCTATTTATCGTGGGAGAGCTTATAGGGAGTTTCTTTGAAACGGATAAAAGAGAAAAGAAGAGAGTACGCGGCACTTACATAATTCCCCTGGTGATGAAAGAGACCATCATCTTGAAAGCAAACAAGTGCTCAATACCTTTCTCAGAATTCACCTCAAATCCAAGATCATCACAAGGACTCCACCCTGATTGATCACCTCATGTAAATATACCCCAACACTTGATTATATCGCAAAGATATACAAGACACGGCCAAACAAAACCCTCGATTCACGAATTACATAAGCCACTTTCCTCCTCCTCCTCTTTTCCTCCACAAGCACGCCAATTGATCCCTCCTAACCTACTCCAACGCTCTGGAATGCAGGGCAAGTGCCGTCCAGCGAATTCGAAATTCAAACCCTTTGGAACCCTTTCAGACCCACCGCGGCTCGGTCTGCGAAAACGACCTGTCACCCACCTCCTGAATTCTTCTGAATGTTCGACGGGAGCCTCTACCCAGCCCCTGCACCCACTACGCACGAATTTCACACGCGCTAGACTCGAACTTCTCCTCCTTCGACTAATTCATGCACCTCAGTCAACAACACAAACCTTAACCCATCATCGACAAAGGCTCATTTTCGATTCAGTATCCCCCCGATTACAACCGACACTCTCACATGGCTAGACTTGGGTTTCTTCTTCCTCTTCTTGCGACAAACATGCGGAACTCAGAGCTGACACATATAGGAGTAGGACAACCATTCACGCTCATTTGTGGGCTAAGCCTTCATGCTCGGAGGCTGCAACTTGCTTCGATCGGACACCAAGGACTGTCGCAGACCGAGGTGATGTGGCGCTTTCGTCCGCTAGGGAGAGAAAGTAGGGCCGTAGACTGGGGGCGTCACGATGACGAAGAAAAGAGGATAAACTTCAGCGCTTTCTCCTAAACCACCCTTACGGATACTGTTTCAGTGCTTTCTAAGGCCACACCAAAACGACAATCGCTTCTCTTGCCTCGATCTTCTCACAGCCGCGATAACCGGAAACTTATAGCAGTAGCCTTCCCAGTTCAAGATGTAGGTTAGAGGAATTTGGTGGTTGTGCTGTGAATTTCAGAACAATATTTTTCTGTAAAAAGTATTAAAACGATAGAATAGTTTGCATTCCATGTTCACCTGCAACCTTTTCCTTGTGCCCTTTCATTCGCTGTCTCTAAAAAATAAAATAAGAATATCTTGATAGGTGCTCTCAAATATATGATAGATAAGGAAAGCTACGCTTAGTTCTTCATGCGTCTTTTGCAACACGTCATTCTCTTCATATTTTTGGTTTGGTGGGGCGAATGGATAAGAATATCGTGCAATTTGTGTCTTTAACAATTACATTCAACAATTACATTATGCAACATTAATTGGTGCAGAATAAAATCGACGTACAACTAAAGCATAGAAAGTGAAATATTGGATTGCATTTTGAATTAAAAACACACAAAGGACTGTAGAAGTGGGTCAACACTTGTATTTGAATGTTCTTTTTCTGCTTTTAGATCACTTATGACATTTTGCCCATCGCACAGAGACAAGGTTTTGCTAACTCGCTCCGTGACCTGACCCATGAATTGTACACCAGAACCTGCTCAACAGTGAAAGAAATCACTCCAGGTACAAAAACAAATCTGTAGAAACAACTTGTGCGTCATGTAAAGTAATTACACTGACTGGCATCCAAATTCCTTGTCACGTTGTCCACCACCGCTTTGGTAGAATACCTTTTTTTGTTCGTACTGGGTGAAGGAAAATGGAGGAATAATAATAATAATAATGAAATAACACAAGAATTCCTCTGATTTTGTAAGTATTATCATTAAGAAACAACGCTGACTGATTTAGGGCTTGTGTAAGGGAACATTTTAAAACTGTAGCAGAACATTGACTTTCATTGGTACCATCCAATTACAAGATCAGGGCATGTTACTCCCTGGTCCTCGACAACCAAAGCCTGATGCTAGCAACAATGAATCAAGCAACCAGACTTTGAGGAAATCGAATTTCTTGAGGACAAAAAGAAAATTTCACCACTTTTAATACCTCTTGACACTCGTCTAAAGAAATGAAGATTTAACCTAAACATAGGCCAACCAGAGATTGTCATTTAGGAATACAACACTCCCAAGTCGGATGCAAAAGCTTTTCTGAGGACCTCTCGTTTAAGCTTCATCGCAGCAGTAACCAGGCCATTTTCAGGTGACCAAGGATTACAGAGAAGCTTCACCTTGGTTGGAATCTCAAACCTCTGCAGTTTTCCTTGCTTAGCCACCTGCCAAACACACACAGAAATTCATTTGAAGATGATCAATACAACAAATCCATATACCCATGACGACAGGCATGAACACTGATGCATAATCCTGTATAATCTCATTCAGTAGTTGAGCAAATGTGGAAGTCTATTAAAAGAAAAGAACGTCGAAAAATCAGTCTGGTTCTCGAACCTGGCTCACTGAAGCAAGAACCTCTTTGCATGTCTCCGACCTCGTGCACAAGTCAGCAAAATCAGAGAAACACCTGCTTTTTGGGCCCAATCCTGGGGCGCAGCTTGGTTTGCCACTATAAGTGCGACAGTATAACTATGGAACGGGTCAGCGTGAAGCATGACGTTGTCGACATATACAGAGCCTATCAGCACTGCCTCCACCTGCAATAAATTAAGAAGAAAGAGTAAGGTACAAGATTCGACAAAGAATAGACAAAACATTCAACCCTCAGAACTGTACAACAGAATACAATACATACGTTGAACGGACACTTTTGACAGCAGTATAGATCAATCACATGTAAATTCATACCTTGCCAAGTGACACGTATTCTCCAGCTTGGAGTTTCACAATATCTTTCTTGCGGTCAATGATCTCAACACAACCATCGCCGTGAAACTGCCCAATATCGCCGGTGTAGAACCACGGCATACCTCTCTCATCCACCTTGACAAAGTCGCCAGAAAACTCTAAGGAAACTATACAAACAAGAACTAAAACGAATATCAAAGGCGGAAGAACCAAAAAGTAGACCAATGAGAAAAACGATTTTATCGATTAGCGAAAAGCTTCAGCAAAAATTATCCCCAAAGCTAGCACAAAACAATCCCTAACAAAAACTTTAATAATGGTCGATGTAATCTACCCATGCTTCCGACGACGGTGGAAAACTCAAGAGTACATTTCATTCCAATGTATTGAATAAGAGTTAAAAACATTAGTGAAGATTATTCAACCACACCTTGAAGACCTCATCCGTCTTCTCTTGATTTTTGAAGTAACCCAATGTCGCACTAGGTCCACCTATAACAATCTCTCCTCTCGGTGGATCATCTGTGGTCTTATAATTGCCCTCCTCCCAATTAACCAGCTGCAAAGTCACAAATGCATGGCGCATCTCAAATAGAAAATACGTAAAGCGACTAAATTTTGCAGTCAATGAACATTAAAAACACCGGACAGGTTGAAGAACACATTGATGCTTACAATCAACCAATTACCCTTACAAATTTAACGAACACGGTTCACGATCCATCTTGTTCGACAAGAAGGAAAAACAATGAATGTTTGCGGGAATAGTACCTTGACGTAGCAGTGAGGTGTCGGAGGCCCCGCACGACGAACGGAGCGATCATCCCATTCGGTGAATGTCCCACCAGCACAAGTCTCTGTTAAACCATAGCCTTGACCGATTGTAGCTCTGCCGAAAATAACCCACGCAGTTTCTTAAGTTAAGGTACCAGAGCATCGTGGCATCAGACCGAGTGAACCGAGTTGTACACACTGACACATGCCGTGGAAACAGTTAGTTTCACGCACATACAAAAACGAACACACACGAAGACTTTAGCCGGAGCCCCGATCAACAGAACCATAACGACAATTCCAAAATAAGAAACACAAATTTCTGATATTCAGTCGCAGCTTCAAGAATACTGAGACACGCATCGGCAAGAGCATACTAGTCAAGACCATAACCCAAAGCAGACGTTGATGAAACGCTGTGTGTGTGCAGACAGCGGGGCTCCTCCACAAAACATTCCCCTTACACGCCCGCCGGGAAGATGCTTGATTTTCTTGAAGATCAACTTGTCTCAGAGCACCTTCTCGATACCCCAAGCTCCCAGCCAACTTCCTTCGATGGCCATAACCCGGCGGTTGTAAGCAGTATTGAAGAGCGTCTTCACCATACCCCCTACCCCATCAACCTTACCCCACAGAATACAGACCTAAACACTCTCTTCATTCTCGTGTTGGATATAACACATACATGCGCCTCGTATATCATAACGTTGTGCTTAGAAACATATTGAGCCTGCAGTCCTGCACGGAGAAACGGCAGAATCACACAATCGCAGCCGCAAACCTAAGCTTCAGAAGGAGTCATGCAGATCAGGTTTGAACTCTGATTTAAACTGCGGAGAGTACCTTCTTCAGCACTCCGTCCCGAACTCGATCTAAAATTGCAGGAACTGCAGTATATAACGTGGGCCTCAACTCAGACGCATCTCCTTTCGTCCCCGGCTTGATCTCGTTTGAGGTATCCAGAAGAGTCAAAGGTGAACCATAGCTAATGCTCGCTCCAACCGCAAGCATTGTGATCTGAATGGGAAAAACGTTGCACTTAGTTAAATTTGAAACACAATCACAAGCTTCCACTCAGTCTCTCTACTTGTGAGAATGTTGCAGGTTGCCAGCAAGTCGTCACTCCAGACAACTCTGGCAATTTTCCAATCTGATCAAAAACTAACCAGGTCTTAATACTCCAGATTGATTTATAGATAATCTTCGCATTTGTGAATACAAATACAAGGTTTTCATGGAAATAGAGAGCAACAGTTCTATAGAGAGTTTACCTCGGCAGCAAGTTCCAACCCATGAGCGAGAGGCAAGTAAGCCAAGTACGTATCGTTGCTTGACATGTTCGGGACACTCGTCATAACTCTGGCTGTTGTGGCATCTATGTTTGCATGTGTCATCATCACACCCTGCCATTTCAACAAACTGTGAACATGGTGCAACTTGGAAACTACCAAGTGAACCTTTCGAGCATATCCACGATGACACATCCCTTCAAATCTACTCGAACTGAAATATTCACCCATACTATTTTGACGTTAAATGCAAATCGTGATGATAAACACTGAAAAGCAGGAACTTTGAAGGACCCAGCTTTTCTTCACATGATCTGCTTCGAACAATTAGATATGGTAAGGAATCTGATATGCTCAAGTTAATTGAATATGCTAACTCGTTGGCTCAAGTTGAATGAATATACAACAACTTGTGAATGGTAGCATTTTGACTCGGCGTATATCCAATGTGAGCTTGTTTTACCTTTGGCATACCCGTGCATCATTGTCCTCCATGTATACAACATGCTTCACAGCATCGCACCTGTCACTCTTGAATAACAGCTTCTTCAGTTGGTTGGAGTCACAGATAACTGTGATAACCTCTGTCTGCGATGAACACTATCTCATTACAAGAGAAAGCACAACTTATCCAGCCCATGCAGGAGAATGGATATTGAAAACAGTGGGCAGTATTGGACCTGTTATGATTAACGTCAAATATTCTGAGAGATGCTAGTGTGACAATGAGCAATCGATTATGAGTACCGAAAGCGACTGAAAACATAATGCGCTATGAAAGAGGATAGCAACGTTTCTCAAGTTTCCTCTCCCACCTCGATTAAAGAGTGCAACATGCGTCCTCCCCTAGCGAGGCATAGATCGTAACAACTGGAAAGTTTTGCCGGAAGCACGCCTGAAATTTCAACCCAAGACATGAATTATCAGATCTCGACTCCTGGACAATGGACTTGCATGAAAGACGACGATTCACCACAGCTTCCGACACAACATTATCTGGGAAACTGAATCATAGTGCTGGAGTCGCA